TGTCTCTAGGTGGCAGCGTTTCCTCACCTCTGGCAGGCGATTAAACCTGAGCGCTCGCTGCAGACTCACGTCCGGTTTCAGTCCTGGATAGTTCACCTCCATTAGCTTCTGAACATTCAGAGGCCGCTCCCGGATTCTGAAAAGCAAGTTATTCATTTATTTAATAGTAAAAAATAAACACATCACACCATTACATAGAAACTCAGTCATTAAAAGGCACAGTCAGGGTGTCCCATGCTAGTTATGCTAAGTTAATGCTTCTTTATGCTTAGCATTGTTCATTTGCTTACACCTAGGATAACTTTTAGCCAATATGTTACACACGGCAGTTTTTATAATAATTATTTCGTTTTTATATTGCTATTTTTTCCATATTTTGTGGCAAATATTAATTTACTGCTGCGCAATTTTACAACTTATCTTTCAGCTAACGTGAAAAGCTGTTTTTTAGCTAGGTTTTTTTTTTTTTCATTTGAGACGTGCCATGTTTTGTTTTTATGGCTTTATGTTTTTTTTTGAAAAAAAAAATTGTATTGTAGATGTCAATAATGATTACATTTTACTCTTAAGGAACAGCATGAAATAATAGTTACTTATAAATAGATAAAAAAATATGCCAATTATATTTTTTGAAAAATACTTTTTCTGAAATATCTTTTTTTTGTATTGAAAACACTAGCGTAGTAGCATAATATGAATTTGTAGTGGTATCGTAACAGTAGTACTTTAGTTGATAGAAACATTTAAAAGGCAAAGTGTGTGAATATAAAACCATTAAAAGACAAAAAAAATATGGTTTCTGAACTTGATGATTGTGGCTTCACTCAACCCTTCAATCAAAAGTAAAGCCTGGAATTTACCTGCAAGAGCTCAGAGGAGCTGGCAGCACCACCCCAGCTGTGTAGACAGCCTGGCACAGGCCCTGCTGGTTGACCCGCCTGGTGACCTCTCTGATCAGAACTGGAGTCATGCGCTTGAGGCGCAGCTTCTTATGAACGCACAGGAATTTGACGTGCACCATCTGCCTCAGGCTGCACGACACATTCAGACCATTTGCTTTGAAACGTACGCCGTAAAATGGTAATGTAATAGCTGCTTCAGATCTGTTAGCAAGCAAGCGCTCTGAATGTTAATGTGACTTATCATCTTTTATATGAACTGTATACACAACATAAAAATCGCCTACTAAATTATGAACATAAATATACGCATATATTTGCGGGCATTGCTCACGTTTCATATACTCGGAGGTGGGCAGGAGCAGCAGCGATGAAGCCGACTAGCTTCTTGTTGGCGCTAACGCGCACACCGCAGTGCCACTGGGTCAGCCAGTTAGGAGGCTGTAAAGTCCTGAGGAGGAGAGAATCAGGGTTTCTGCAGTTAGAATGAATGTAATTACAGTTAAGTGACCCCTGATTCATCCCAGCTTCCAATTAAGGACTGAGCAAGAATTCATGAGGCTGAATGAAAAGGGTTAGTGTCTCCTAAGCTCTGGGTCGAGACACTGCTCCGTTGTTGGATTCTTAATTATTAGTTTCCCAGTAAGTGTTATTAGCGTCAGCTGCAAGTGTTCCCCGTGGGGTAGGATACCTTTAATGTTATTACAGTTTAACTTTCATGTGTTGACCGGCAACAGATCATTAAAAAAATATTTTTTTTACTTTATGGCTAATCATTCATCCTGTGTTAAATTAAAGGGAATAGAAAAGCTATCACTGGGTTTTGATCAGTCACTTCATAGAAATAATTGAGATGTGGTGGATATAAAAGAACAGATTTGTGGGCTCGTTTTTGGCTAACCAATATTTAGCAATATTTCAGCTTACTTAAAAGAACATTTTTGATGATTAGATGTATTTGAAAATCTACTGTTGGATTCAAATAATACTGATATACAGGTTTGCGTGACCGATATTATCAGCTCAATATTAGCAAAATTATGCAATAACTGTGAGAATCTCTACTGTTCTTTTTTTCTTTTTTCGATAACGCAGTGCCTGGGTTTAAGCAAATATACTGGAAACACTATTTTTGATGATTAGATGTATTTGAAAATCTACTGATGGATTCAAATAATACTGATATAGAGGTTTGCGCGACCGATATTATCGGCTCAATATTAGCAGAATTATGCTATTATCTGAACCATTAGCTCAAGTGATTCTGATGACCCAACCAGCATGTGTATATGCTATAATAATTACAAACAAACACTATCTTTGATCAATTAATTTACAGGGGTAAATTAATTAATGTAATAATATAATAATAACCTTAAGTCTGAATTTATTTTTTACGAACTTCAAACTACAGAACCAATGTCAATGGCAATTTTTAAAATAGTTCCGTTCAACTTTTTAAGTACACTTATATTTTTATTAACCAAAATATATTTTTCAAAATGTTATGTGTATAAATCAGAAAATATTGATAAAACACATGGGTTAATTCAATTATTTGTAAATCCTCATCACCAGTTAACGAAAAGTATAAACACAACCGCTATAAATACAAAAACTCTACTAATACGGAACCAGACCAGCACAGTAATAATTAGAAGGACTTGTACTTACCACTGCAGATACTCAGGAGAAAAGTCATGTCTGAAGGTGTTGTCATCATCCTCTGTGTAGTTGTCATTCAACAGAGCGCAAAGCTCTCGCAGCTAAAATAACGCCAATTATTTGTTAGCTTTATAAATATATATAAAATATATATATATTTTTTTACACAATTCTGTTTGCGTTAACTCACGACAGAGGAGCTATTCAGATCCAGGGTGTCCCAAAAAAAACCTTGAGGCAGAGAGTACGGATCTTTGCGAACACCGGCCTCACTCTCTACTATTGGACCGTGACTTGTAGCATTGTCCTCTATGATTAGGAGAAAGAATAATGAAATTTGCTTATGTAAAAAGATAACAATTGTGTCAAAAAATTTAAAAAAAGTTCGCTCAGTTACCCATTTTTTACCCCATAGATCTGGACACTATTGTAAACAGCACGTTGTTAGCATTGTTATCATTAGCTGTAGCATGTCAGGTCATACTGGTGGGCCACGCCCCCGACTTTTAGAAGCTGGGCATGTTATGTTTTGGTCAGTCTGATTGTGGTTGGTTTAGAGTCAGCGACTCCGTCCAATCAACAAAAAGTCTGAGTTGGAGGATGGCACAGATGAAGATGCTGAGATCTTCACAGGGAGTGACCAGGATGGACAAGATCAGCCATGAGCAGATCAGAGGGACAGTTAAGGTGGAGCCAGTTAAGGTGGAGCAGCCAGAGAGGTGAGTTGGAGATTAGATTAGGTTATGGTCCAAGGAAGAAAACTGATTAGATTGGAACTGAATAGTCTTGGCAAAGCTTCGCACTGTCTGATTGTTCCTTTGACATGTCTCATAAAAGGCTTAGCAATGGTAAGACATTCTCTGTCCTTAACCTTGAAGATGGCTGATGAAACGCTGTTAAAAAGGAAAGAAATTCAATTATGCAGGAGAAGGTAGTCAAAATGGAAGGAATCCTGGAAGGAACCAGTCAACTGTAAGGGCTTTACAGCCCTGAAAACCCCTGCGCAAACGTACAAAGTCCAACTAATACTTTTGCTGAAACTTCTAAGATTCAGGGTCACTTCGTAAAAGCAAGTTAGCTTATGTTCAAATTGTCGGCCTTGCGTGAACCTGTGCTGTTGAAACAAATTCCGAGCGTGAACTAGTTGTCATAGACGGCTTTGTTTACCTTCGCTGGTTGTACACCACTCTTTATTTACTCCTTCCTTTGTGCCGTGAACTAGTTGTCATAGACGGCTTTGATTACCTTCGCTGGTTGTACGCCATACATTGGATTGTGCTACATTTACTCTCTTTCCTTTGTGTTGTTTTTTGGGAACTCTTGGGGTAAGACAGACTCTTCTGATGTTTTTATGTCCTAGATGTGGACTAGGACATAAGATGTGGACAAACATTTGACTCGTGGGCCACAATTGTCCGAAAATTGAACAGGAGTAGATAGATGGAGTGTTTGTGTGAACTAAGATAAATGACATGTAAAAGTCGTACCTAAAGGCTAAAATGTTTTATCATTTTTTACGCCATCTACTGGGGAAATGTGGATATTGCAGGGAAAAGGCAGAAGTATATTGATAAATTCTGTAATTTGGATATGTTTGCTGAACAAGCCTTAGTTTGCCCATACCTGTCCTAGATTATGATGTTGCCACTTCGTTAGCATAGGTGAGTGACAAATACTTACTCAGTCTACGGACAGGCTGTGTATCCCAGAAGCGATAAGTGTGTCTCTCGGCCTCCTGCAGACTCCTGGGTGGACTTGGACCTAGAGCAAAGAGGTGGAGGGCTTTCTGGATCTCTTGTTGCTTCTTCTCTGGCAGAGCATCCAGCTATGAAACAGGAGAGGACCAAAAAAAAAAAAAAAAAATGAAATCATAATTTAATTAGTCAAAACAAACACTGTAGTTATTAGTGGTTCCAGGTCATCTGCAGTATGTGAACCCTTCACGAGCTGCCAAATCAATAACCCTGATTGATGACTGAATCTAACACTTACTTTGATCTAATATGTTTCAGATTAGGTGTTTTTCCGCTGAACAGAACATGTTTTTTTTTTCTTTTTTCTGTCTGCTCTGCCAGAGGAACTATTGGTCTTACTGCTACCTCACTTGATAAATGGATGAAAACAATATCCTACAAATCAAAACAAAACTTTTTAAACACAAAGGTCCTAAAATAATTCATTTCAGGTTAGGCACAACACTAAATCAAAAACTCATTACTGATTTTGTTTACAGAATTTGGAATAAAAATTTTTCAAGGCTGCACACTTTACAAAGGCACGTGGACTTTGATTTCCTCTGGTGAAAAAGCAATCTAATATCTGATATCTAATGGTGTGGTCCACAGATAGGTCAATACATACATACATAACACATAGATACATATACATATATGTATGTATATATACATATATGTATGTACCTATGTATCTATATATGCACACATTTGTTCTCAATTAATATTCAAGAGAAAATATATTTAATATATACACACATATGTACATATATGTATGTATCTATATATATATACACATTTGTTCTGAATTAGTATTAAAGAGAAAATATATTTAATATATACACACACATATGTACATATACATACATATACATGTACATATATAAGTGTATAACATGTTAAGAATATGTTGTGTTCTATATAGTGTTTCCACTTAGTTTCCAGTTTGTTTTTAACCACACACGCCATTTGTTTTTGTCATCCTTAGTGAAAGTGCACCCTCTGTCAGAAGACCATAACTAGCAAACTCATAGCTGCATACGTTCACTCTTCCTCGCGGAGACACAAACCATAGCAAACGGGTCTCTGGGTCCCAGTGGTCTCCAAGCGTCTTCGCCCTTTGGCTTCTTCTTGCTCTTTCTCCCCGCGCCTCCATCCTCTACTCCCAGCTTCTTATCGCTATAAGACATGCAATGACATACCGTATGTGCCTGTATATTCGGGGCCGTTCATTTATATCTCTCTCCTCCAAGCAACAGTCAAAAGCACACATACTCACAGCAGGCCTGAATCAGTCATTGGGAACAAATGCAAGCCGTTGAAGTCAAGGGCAAACTGCGGCTGTTTTCTGACACATAAGTCGTTTTTTTTTTGGCTCTTATCTCTGTAAGCAGCAGAAGGGAGGACAGTCACCGCCTCAGTAACCAAGCCCAACTCCCAGCCAGAAGATAGATAAGTGAGAACAATACTAACTTCTCACGGTCTTCATGTGTCAGGCTGCTGCTGCTGGCTGAAGCTCTGCTGCAGATTAAAGCCCGGAGCTTCTTGATCCAGGCAGCAGATTTAATTGCTTGAGGTTTCTGGAGTGCGGAGTTCCCATACATTCTTTTGTTTATAGCCCAGAAAGTTATTTCATGCGGATGTGATCAGCATAATTAGCACGAGTTAGCAGTCATAACTCTAGAAATACATAATTTAAGCTCATTTTAGAAGAAGAAAACAACATAATACAAACAGTTAAAAAAAAAAGTATTATATTGTAAGCTGCAGTTGCTGGCTTTTCAATGACAAAATTCCAATTACGTACTTCGGCCTTGACTATTGTAGAACATTCTCTCAAAAGACCGACAATTAAGTTATTCCATCTGTGATGGACGACAAAACGAGTTAGTCATTTAAAAGTCAAAGCTTTGGTAAAGCCAGGAAAATTAAAAAAAAAAACTGTTACTGTTGTTTTCTTTTACACAGAGAACTACATTGAAGAGATGAAGAGACGACTGAAGGCAAGAAGAAAAGCTTTGACTTTGTGATTAGGAGGAGGGGTTAGAACAGACATAGCTAAACTACGGCCTGGGGGTCAAGGATGGCCCATTAGGATTTTTAATCCGGGCCTCCAAACTTGTCCAAATTATACTAATCAATCATAATATCATTTGTCAGTTTGCCTTCATCGTGTAATGAATGCATTTCCCCAATAGATGGCGCACTCCTTGGGTGAGCCGTATAACTCTCTACACACTTTGTTTGAACCTCTAACCTTAATGTTATCCTTTGTAATAAATGATTATTTGATACAATTTGCTTCTCTATCAATAAGATCTGTGTGGTTTTCCCTTTAACCTCTGACCTTTAAAGCAAAAAAAAGTGACATTTTATTTAACAATTGGCTGAAACTCGATGGATATTTCAGTTTGTAAATACTTGTTATACCCTTATTTTGATGCCTGCTCTGAAAATATTGTCTGAATACCGTATTTTCCTGACTGTAAGTCGCACTTTTTTTTTTCATCCTTTGGCTGGGTTTGCGACTTATGTGACTTTCACATGTTTGTTATTTTCACACTGACAGCCGCTAGAGGGCGCTCTAGGCTTGTGTACCAGTGTCTGCTCCTGT